CCCAATAACACATGTCGTCCCAAGCCAACAGCGGCCGCTGTTGGGCAGGGGGCCTTCTGTCTCAAGCGGGCACGGGCCGCGGCGACGCCGAGAGCGAGTCCTGCTCAAGATGGACTGGAGCTGCTGTTGGGAACTGTGCCCGTTCTTTCCGTAGCCATGTCGTTCGTGCCGATCGGAGCGTTCTCCATTCTTCGTGGAGGCCTGGAAATGGGCACCAACACCAACACAGGGGGGTACCTCCACAGGGGAAGATGATCCTAGATTTCGGTGTTGGTGGCAATATTTCGGCCACCCTGGAAGCCATAATCTTACCACCATCGCGGGACCTTCTTCCCTCGGTGGAGGTACACCGCCGATGTTGGTGTTGGTGTCAACCTCGAGGCCTGCGATCTTCGCCCTCTCTGGCCGAACTGCAGCGTCCTCGCCCCCAAGCTCCCAGAGTTGAGCAGGGACCGACCGTCCCGGCATTCCTATAGGCCTACCTCGAAATGCTCTTAGAGCATAGAGAAGTTCTAATAACAAAAACGATGTTCTTAGAACATAAGCCCGATGTGCTAAAACAAGACGGCCCCAGCCAGAAATGTTCTAAGACAAATTCGTGGAAACCACAAAAGGTTCTTATAACATTCTTTGATAGGCCTATAGCTGTCCGCCGCTCGGACGTCCATTCCCTGTGTTTCTGTTCCGGTGTCGTGCGTGGCTTCTTCCACCAGAAGATCAAGGATGATCCTCGGTGGTCCTCGCCGAAAGAAACATGCGCACGTCCGAGCGATGCCAAGATAGGCACACCAGGACGCTTCGCCACTGCTCGGGCCCCAGACCCCCGACGTCATGATTTTTTCACGACGTCGACCCCCAGCGGTCTGGACCCTTTCCCCGGGACCGGTTCTTCGTCCTGAGTCGTTATTTGACGGTCCCGAGGGCCGGCAAGGGCTCCCCCGAGGCCGAAAATCGCGAAGAACCTCCCGTCGTGATTTTTTCAGAACTCGAGGGGGTCTGGGGTCCTTGGCTCCTGGGCTCCCAGAGACGGACCACCCTCCACCAGCCCCTGGCCCGACCGCTCCCGGGCCTCGGACCCCGCGGGGAGGCCGAGCCAGGGCCGACGGCGCACGCGCCGATCCTGGGCACAGGGTTCGGCAGAGTGGCTTCGTCACGCGATGCGAAGTCTCCTCCTCCTCCCCCTCCTCCTCCTCCTCCTACTCCTCTCCTCTCCCTCCTCCTCCTCCTCCTCCTCCTCCTCCTCCTCCTCCTCCTCCCCCTCCCCCTCCTCCTCCTCCTCCTCCTCCTCCGCCTCCTCCACCTGAGATTCGCATCACGTGGCGAATCCCAATCGCCGAAGGACGGCCCTGTCCAAGATCGGCGAGGTAGTCGGCGGGACGTCGCTGCATGCCCAGACCCCCGACGCCATGATCTGTCCATAACGTCGACCGTCGACCCCAACAGGTCTCGACCCACTCCCCGGGACCAGTGTTTCCTCCTCGGTCGTTTCTTGGCGGTACCGAGGCCCGGTAAGGGCCCCCATGGGCCGAAAATAGAGAGACACCTCCCGAGGTGTTTTTTCATGCTTCGGGGGGGTCTGGGTGGAAAGAGGTAGGCGTCCGGGTGGAGTTCCCCCTTTCCTTTAGATAGACCTTTGGCGGCGCGCAGAAGGGGGTGTTTTTTTTGGGGGGGGGCCTTTTCTGAGAAGGCGGCGCGCTTCTCAGAAGCCAGGGGCCTTCTCAGAAGGGCCTGGAGGCATCAGAAACTTCCAGGCCCCCCCCGGCCCCTGAAAAACGCCTTCCGAGAATATTATTAGAGGGCTTCTTTGAAGCCGCGAGGGCTTCTAAGAAAGGCCCCTGCCTTCCCAGAAGCTCCCCCGCCCTCTTTTGGCCTTCTTTTGGAAGGCAAGCCCCCTCGCGCTGCCCCCCTGCGCGCGCCGCCAAGGAGTTGCACTCATGGGCCGGGCGAGGTGGTCGGTGGGGGCGGCCCCCGATCGACGCGGGTGGGCGGCGGTACTCGCCGTAGTCCGTCTGGTCCCCGGCCTTCTGGCCGGGGTGGTAGTTCCTGGAGGGGCGACTCGAGGGTCGAGACTCGAGCGTCGAGTAGGAGGGGGAGGAGGGGGAGGAGGAGGAGGAGGAGGAGGAGGAGGAGGACTCAAGCGGGACTCAAGCGGAGCAACAATGAGTTGCGTCTTTTGGCCTCGGGGGAGGCCCACAGGACACGAGCCTGTGGGAGCTCCTCCCCCGCCCAGCCGCGACGTAGACCACGAAGCACGCGCCCAGCAGCATCGCGACGAACGGGATGCCACTCAGGGAGCGGCCGAGCGGTGACGCCGCTGCCAGCACAGCTGCGCCTCGCGCCACTCACAGACCGCCGCTGCCTCTCACACCAATCGACTTCTCGTCAGGGGCGTGTACAACGGGGGACCGTGCGATGGGCGCACACGCATGGACCGTGCCGCCGAAATGGACGGGGTCGGCGTCGTACTCTCCGATGCCGTCGTCCTCATCGCCAGCCAGGGCTGCCCAACGATCGCACGGGCTGCCAGCTGGCTCCGGATTCTTGCCGACGTGGCCCCACTGCTCGACCAAGCCCCTCGGCGGAACACCAGGGGCTGCCCGCGGGACGGCGCGCTCCATCGCGCGCACGGGCGCGAGCACCGCAGGGTCCATCGGCTCCTCGTCCGTGACGTCGAACACGCACGGCTCCTCCTTCAGACTCTCGCCAGCGGGGCCAGTCCCGATGCTCAGGCCGCCAGCGGGCACATCCAGCACGGCATCCAGCAGGCCGATGTCCTCGCCCCTGGGGTCGCCATCCACCACGGCATCGACCACGTCGGGGCGCATCGTCAGATCCTCGTACTCCTGCTCATTGCCGCGCTCATGCTGGTAGTCGGGGCAGCTGGGGGCGACGCCCTCCTCGACCTCGGAAGCCGTTGCTGCCACCTCCAAGCCCTCGCCGGCGTTGCCGCTGGTGGACGCCAGCGCCGTCCGAACGGCCTGCTCATGCTGCCTCTCCGACTCCAACTCGTCCCCGTCGTCGCACTGCGACGGGCGCGCCTCCGCCATCAGCGAGGTGACCACCACGAACTCGGGGGAATGGAGTCGGGCGCGGAACTTCTCCAGCTCCGTCGCCACGATCCCCGAGGGAACCTTGCGGAGCCGCGCCAGGCCAGGCGGTGCAGCGTGCCGAGCCCAGTTGGCCGAGATGCCGAGCTCCTCGGCCAGCGCCGCGAGCTCGTCCAGGCCGATGAGCTTGGCCGCTCCCACCGCAGCCATGATCGAGGCCTCATGGCCGCCCAGCGCGTCGCCTAGGGCCCAATGGGCCCCAAGCGACCTCCTGAAAATGTCAACCCTCCTGCTGATGGCCAGCGCCCGCGACTCGCCGACAGCGGCGCGCCATGCGCGTCGGCGCCGCCTGGCCAGCGTGCGCGCCGACGCCGCAGCCCAGCGCCGCTTGCCGTCGGGCTCGGGGTCCGCCATGGGCCACATGCGCGCGCCAAGCGCGAGCTGGGCGCGCGCCGCCGTGCGTGGGCCTCCCGCTGCCTGACTCACTTGAGCCAAAATGGCTACGGAGGAGGAGGAGGAGGAGGAGGAGGAGGAGGAGGAGGAGGAGGAGGAGGAGGACGAGGAGAATCGAGGCTCGAGGCTTGCAGGCGTTCTTCGTCCTCCTCTGGCCTCGGGGGCCGGGAGCCTCTCGCCCTGGTCAAGACGCCCCCCCCCCGCAGAGAGGTCCAGGAACCTGTTTTTTTTTGGATTCAGGCAAGTTTACTTGCATGGCGTTCGCCCCCCCCCCCCCCCCCCCCCCGCCCCTCTTCAAGCGAATACTAGCGTGCAAGTGCCTTTCGACTTGCGTGATTTCCGACCCCCCCCGAACGTGCAAGTCGTTTGCGGCTTGCTTCAGGCTCAGCCCCCCCCCGTCCATGCAAATAAACTTGCCAGAGGCTAAAAAAACCAGGCTCCAGGGGGTTCGTGGCAGAACGTGCCTCCGGAGGTCGGTCGGGAGGGGTCCCTAAGGGCTTGTCGACGTTTCGCCAATCGACTTGAAATGTGGGGGTCGAGCAGGATCCGCCAGCCCCCTTGTGGGGCCACCAGGCTGTGGGACCAGGTTGCGGCTCCCTGCGCCAGCTGCGGCTTCAAGTCTCCAATGTTGCAATCTTGCCTGTTGCTTTCCACTGCAAATCGGCGCGAGGGGGGGAGGCCGAAAACCTCCATGGTTACCCTCCCCCGGGAGGGTTCTCAGAATTTCTAGGGGGACATGTGTACTCCCTCTTTCTCTTGAGCTTTCCCACTCGCTGCCTCAACCTATCTGTGTCTCTCTCTCTCTCTTTCTCTCTCTCTCTCTCTTCTGTATCCCTCCCAGCCTCTGTATTTCTGTATGTCTTTCCTCTCTCTATTTAGATATAAACGCTGTACCCTCTCTACTCAATATGCAATGTACCCTCCTCTGACTATTACTTTCCCGACTCTTCTTTTTAGTGTATTTGATGTGCTCACCACTCTCTGCTCTCTGCTCCGCAAATGCTCGCAACGCCCCAGGCACCTTGACACGATCACGAACTCGGGAACCCGAGAACCCTGGAACCAAGAAGCTGGCGCCCTGGCGGCCAGCCGAAAGCAATTCCGCAGGATCGCCATGTCACTCACATTATCTCTTTCACCTGGGAACTTGGGAAACCAGGGATGAATCCAAACCGTGTGTTTCGGTTTCGTGTTGTGTTCGTTTTCCCTCGTGATGTCTTCGATCCACCTTTGCGGCAAAACGAGATCGAAACGGAAGCGGCCCACGAAATCGCCACAACACAACCTAGGTCGAGCCCTGATCCAGCGGCCCACCAACCTCGGTCCGAAACTTCCGCCTGTGAAGTCAACGCCCGCCAGGATGCCTTCGCTGCAAGCGCCGGCGGGGGGAAGCAAATATCCCAGGCGTGCCCAACCCCTGCGCCACGCGAGGTGGCCTTTTATGTGAACGCTCCATACAAACAAAAAACTCATCCAGCGCCCTGCGCCCTGTGATCCAAC